AGCAGGAATATTGTACACATAAAAAGCTAGAGCTGAAAAAGTCAGAAAATCTCTACATCAAGTGCATTTTGTTCTATCAGTCAAGTGTAGTGTTATTTTTATATGACATGGCAAAAAAAAAAAAAAACTAATTTCATTTTCAACTGGAGACAGAGAGGGATGAACAAAGATTTAATTAGCAACATATGATTTATACCCTGTCATAAAAGGGATCTGTTTTTTTCTCTCCTATACTGCGGAGATAACACAAAATAAAGCAAGGCACTGTGCTGAACATGTTCCCCCTGCACCCCTCTGAGAGGTGGCTTTTAGAGGAGTACGTAGCATTCGCATGGCAACGCTGATGCTTTCTGACTCAGCCAAGGAGGAACAGAAGCTCAGTGTGCTGCAGTGGATTTGTGCTCATGTTTAAGTTAAGGGCAGGACTCTCACCATGATGAGAAAACCATAGTTTGGCTTACATTGGCTACTTATTAAATAGATGAAATACTGGCAAAGGAGAATACATCTCGGAGCCTGCCATGAACCATAAATAACCAGCACCTGCAAACTCTGCTGCCATATTCACAAACAGGCCGTAAATGTTCTCTTTCAGGTTTTAGGACATGAAAAGCATGTGAAAGAACAAGAAGAGTGTAGGTGACCCATCAAACCCAAGTGTAAGAGGTGACCCTGCATGTAAAGCTTTTTGTTGCTACACTGGAGATGCATTGTCCCTCCTAGAGACAGTGAGCCAGTTTATGTTCATTCCAGCTGCAGTTGTTGCCAGCTCCGATATTAAACAGCACATCTGTCACTATGGCCACTGGCGGGCTAAGCCAGGACAGCCCTGCTCCCAGCTCCAGCCTGCAGTGTGTCACCCACTCAGCAAACATACTTGACAATCCTGTCTGTGTGTGTGGAAGACAGGGGGAAACAAATGCTGTTGTCTTGCTCCAAGGGCTGTTGGTTGACATGATTGTGACACATACAGTATAGCCTGTGTGAACTGTCAGACCATCATGACAGAGTTTCTTGCTGGGGTGGATGAGTACAGATGAAAAGCAGAAGAGGCCATGATAGATGGACCTGTCAAATGCCAGCAAGTATGAGAGACATGATGACTGATTTTGACAGCTTCAAGCCTTTCCCTTTGGATAAATAACAATTAATAACTCGGTGACAGACAACACTGTGTGTGGGATCTTTAGTTGTAACCTCACACATCTTATATAAGACTATAAATCCTGATGTTATCTCTTTTGTTAGTTTTGGAATTCCGGTGGGATGATGGTTTGTTTATGCCTGGGATGTTACTAAAGCTGTTTTTTTAGTGCAGCTTCCACTTTGCTATAATCTCCAGAGTAAACACCAGTTTTTTTATTTTTTTATTTTAACTCACCAAGTAGGGCAATTAGCCACCAGATAAACAGCACACACTCAGGTCAGCTGCTGTAATCTTCATAATTCTATCAAAATGGATGTTTAATGAGGACAAATGATGGCTGGGCGACCTCTGCCTCTGCTGACTTCCACTGGGAAAAACTATCACCATCAAGCTTTTAAACCAGATCAGGGTATATTTATGCTGCTGGTTTGTTTTTACTCACTCATTTAATAAGGTCATTATATGCACTTGTGATCAGTCAGCCTGTAATCCTTTTCCAGCACAAAGCAACTGATGCATAAATAAGCATCCTATTGAATAAGACACAAATTGTCAGATGTGGTTCTTTCGGGGTTTGCTCAATATACTCATTCAAATTTGGCCTCCAGGTTTTTTACATAACACAGTGATGCACGCCACTATTTTCATTTTGTTTTCATAGAGGATATGCTGCCTATTCACAACCTGCTAACAATCTGAAAAGCCATTTTAATTCCAGTTTTTTCATGTCTGATTTCAACATTGTGCCAAAAGTATCAAATCTCACTTTTTCCAGCTCATATACAAAAATCGGATTATCCATGACAGAGGCGAGACTGGGGCAGTGGAAGGGCAACATGGAAGGCAGAATTTGTCATTTATCTTTTGGGTTAACTGATATGTTTTGGAGAGCAATGGACATCCATATTGTATTTCAGCTTTCCTTTGCAAGTGTCATTAAGAGTGAGGTAAAGAGTTAAATCAAAAACCTTATGGTGCCTTGATCAATAAGGTGCACAGAGGACAGCAGCTCTTTATTAATGTGCACATTTGAGGATCCAGTTAAGACATTAGGATTTAAACTGGGGTACACAATTAAATATCTTTTACCAATTTAAGACTGTTATATTATTTTAGCATGTTGTGGGGCAGGTGGACAATAGGAGGGTTCAAAGGTGGTGAAAAGTAACTAAGTACATTTACCAAGGTACTGTACATAAGTACAAGATTGAGGTATTTTTGTTTTATTTTCATTTTGTGCTACTTCATACTTTAAGTTCACTACATAGGGCAGCTGTGGCTCAGGAGGTAAAGTGGGTTTTCTCCTAACTGGAAGATTAATGGTTCGATTCCCAGCTTGCCCAGTCCACATGTCAAAGTGTCCTTGAGCAAGACACCGAACCCCCAGTTGCTCCCGGTGATGACACCAGTGAGAATGGCCAAATAAAGTGAAATCGCTTTGAGTGTGCTGCAATGCATAGAAAATCGTTATACAAGTTTTAGATCATTTACATTTTAGAGGCAAATATTATTTTTTTTACTCCCCTACATTTATTTTATAACTTTAGTTAGTAGTTACTTTTCAGAACCAGATTAATACAAAAATTACAGTATAATCATAAGACTTCACTAATTTCCAGTGAATACTTCACAAGCTACCCAGCTGTATTGAAAGTACTTTGCATTATAAGCATATGATGTAGTTAAAATTAGCTCCTCATTTACCAGGTGCAACATTAAATATGAAATACACAATACGGTTTCAGTAATTACAATCTAATAATATGATATACATTAATGTTAAATGTGGCATTCTGCATAATGAGTAATTTTACTTTTTGTACTTGAATTATGCTTTGATGCTATACTTTTACCATTTTGAATGCAGAACTTTGACTTGTAACTCAGTATTTTTACACTGTTGTATTCCTACTTTTATTCAACTAAGGGACCAAGGTACTTCTTCCATCACTGGAAATATTTATAACCCTCAGGAGGCCCCTCTTTCTACAACATGAAGCAAAGAGTTCAGACCCCCTTGTAACACAAACAATCTCTGTACAGTCCCTCAACAAAGTCACAGAGGTCAGTGGCTGCTGTGTCCCAGCAGTTGCTGCTGCTTCAGAAAAACTAAAGCACTCTTAAGCTTCTCTTGTTGTAATTCACAATATTTCCGCTGTGCACTCTATCACAGGAGTTTGCAGGTTAAGCTCAGAGGCCTTTCAGTGTAATACTTTGAAACATCAATCAGTTGATCAGTTGGCCTTGGTTGAGTGAATGCTGCTGGTATGATTCACAGTCCTGTGTTCCTTATTTCTGTTTTTGTTTCAAGTAGAATTCTAGTTGCTTTGAAATATGGTTCAATTATATATTTCTAATGCTTTTAATAAGCATGGTGTAATGTTCTGTTTATACAGGTTTGAGCAGTAAAGAGCTGATCGACAGTAAGAACCCATTGCCTTTTCCTGTCTTCTTGCCGGTCAGCTATGAGGTGCGAGATGCTGATTACCTCTTCCTAAAAGAAGCTGGCCAGGATTTCATGAGGAACTCCAGCACGCAGAGTCACACGCAGCTCTTTGTTATCTTAAGAGCCAGCCGCCAGCCAGCTGTCAGCGCCAGCTACAGCACCATGTCCACAGAGCAGCTTGTGCCTCTAGATCTGGTCCAGCCTGTGCAGCTCTTCAGCGCTCCAGAGGTCTCCACTTTTAACTGGAAAATCCAGGCCTTTGTGCTGACACCTCAGGTTTTCTCCTCCAAGCCCAAAATGCGGGTGCTCTTCTATGTTGCAGGGAGGGACTGGGGAAGGGGGGAAGGAGCTGTGGATGAACTACCATGTGTGACAGTGTATGCTTTCTGGCAGACCCAGGAGGTAAGGGTTTCCTGTGCCATGGGAGGTGAGAGAGGGACCTGCATGGCTGAGCTGGCTCCTGAGCCTGACTGGTTTGCTCCAAAATCAGAAGGCACCAGCAGGGAACGGCAGGACATGTCTAGCGGGAACCCTGTGGAGCTGTACTACCAGGCGCAGCCCAGAATCGATGGAATGTGTAATTCCCTTGATGGAAATCGTTGGGGTGGGCCACAGCAGCAGGCAGAGTATGTTCCTGTCACTCCTATGCAGAGAATTGGCACCGTCCGTCTCCTGCAGGTGCCTAAAGGAATGGTGACGCTTTCTCGGCTCAAGCTTGGCAATGCCATTATCATTCGGACATCCTCCAAACCACTGAAGAAGACTGACATCGCCACCTTCTACATACTCATGGCCAGCTCTGCTCAGCTGACTAACTTCACTCTCAGGTAAGACTGTGTTTTCTGTTGCCTCATAGTTTGGAGCGGTCAGCAATGATATGACTGGCTACATGGTGCCAGTATTGGCAGGGAAATATGGTTTTCCTTCACAGGGCTCTGTAAATTCAGTGATGTCCAGATTAATTGGTCAGTAAGAATTCAACTTGGAGAAGAGTCCATTAACACTATTGGTGTTCATGCACAAATCCTGTGCCATCAAAAACAAGGAAATATTGGATGGAATGAGATTACATATGCATTACAGTATTTCTCTGAAAATATCATTGGGGTTACTGTCTTTCTGGGAAGTGGAGTAGATTGTCCCAGTTAAGTTAGAAAAATATGAGTGAGCACGGCCTGGTGACATTATGGGCTGTTTCAAGAGCAGTAGTCACTTGAGGTTGTCATGGATCAATTAAAATCATGTAGCTTGTGACTCATTATCACTCTGCTTTAAAGGGTATATTAGTGTACTGCTAGTGAATGGATGAAGATCATGGGGATTACCATCATAGCTGCCAAACACAGGAGGCTTTAATTTAATTTAATTCATTTAAGCCTTGGTTCTCATTTTACACTGGACTTCATTGTTTGACTGGAGATCAAAGCATTTGTTGTACCATCTTAAAGCAACAGTGACGTTTCTCGAGGTCTGTGTGACATATTTGACACTTATGTTTTTTTAAACAGTTGTACATTTTGCCTCTTCCACCTGATTTATTAACCTCTGGGTGATTAAAAAAAGTCACTCTTCCCCTTTCAAGATGAAATGATGCAACATGGAAGATTGGCATCTCAAAACTGAATTAAATGCCTCCTACTTGCTCCCACCATTTCATTAATGGTTTTGATGGCATGGCGTACCTTTTATTCCCAGAGATCAAAGAAAACCACAGTGCAGCATAACTAGATTTGTTGAGGCTAGCTGTCAGAGCAGACAGGTAGAGATTTAGATTCTGACTTTTAAAATTACTATTCAAGACAGTCTACTTTATTCTAAGGCAGTGGATAACTGACTGTCAGGAGGAGTGAAGTGTGTGTTCCATACATGTCTCATTTGGTTTGTGTGTAGATTTGGATCATAAGCTGAGTATTACATAAATCCATCTTTCATAGGGTGCTTGGTTTGGCGTGATGTGATAAAGGATAAGGGTGTCTGCGTTGCTGTTTGCAGTGTTGTTAGGTGATGATCAGAGCTGTTCTGGGGGTAGCTAATCCAAAAGAGCGCTTGTTCCTGAACAATGGTTACACCCTGTCCCTTCCTTTCTGCCTCGACTTGCTCATACATGCTTCAGTGGAAGTGAGTCAGTAAAGTGACAGTCATAGGTTATTAACTCCTTTTCACCTGGTTCTGCATTCATTCCCTTAGACAGTCCCTTAGATCAGCTGTGAATGCTAGAAAACATAAATACTGATTGAGCAGACAGCTGTGCATGGATGCGCTTGTCTTCCTTTCCAGGTTTCAAAGCTGAGTGTGCAGGAGTCATCAGGTCTTTTCTGAGAGGCCAAAAGGAAATAAAACACTTAAAGATGTTTCATCTTATATATCAAGGGCCATTTGCAAAACATTAAACTGCTTTAAAAGCTAGTATCCATGCGCTATGTATTCTATGGGGTTTCAATTATTTATTTTAAAGCATACGTTGGTTTTGTTTCTTCTGTTTCTTGATTTTATTTGAGGCAATGAAGCCCAGAAAGAAATCCTAATTTCCCCTCCTTGTCCTCTTGTTTAATCATTTCTGCTTTAATTCATTTACTCAGTCATATGTTTCTTTCATCTCCTTTCCTCGGAGCTTCTGTCTTGGTTGGAAGATCGGAAGTTAAGCATATGCAATAGACAGTTGTGTCTACACAGTAGGTAAAGGCAACTATCCATCCATCCATCCATCCATTTTCTTCCGCTTATCCGGGACCGGGTCGCGGGGGCAGCAGTCTAAGCAAAGATGCCCAGACTTCCCTCTCTCCAGACACTTCCTCCAGCTCCTCCGGCGGAATGTCGAGGCGTTCCCAGGCCAGCCGAGAGACATAGTCCCTCCAGCGTGTCCTGGGTCTTCCCCGGGGCCTTCTCCCGGTGGGACATGCCCGGAACACCTCCCTAGGAAGGCGCCCAGGAGGCATCCGAAACAGATGCCCGAGCCACCTCAACTGGCTCCTCTCGATGTGGAGGAGCAGCGGTTCTACTCTGAGCTCCTC